GAGGCATTGATGAACTGCGGTTCGATGAAGTGCTTATGACCCATCCGGTAGAACCCAGTGGTGGACCATCTGCGCTATCTGTGAGTTCACATGTTTGTTCTGTCCGGCTCAGCTGGTGGTCAGGGTAATGCTTGGCTAAATAAAGGCAAATAAGCCCGAAACAGTTCTGTATCAAGTTATCCCCAGATGCTACCCTCCCTCTCTGCTACTATAGCTTGGCGAACTTCGGCCTAGTGGTTGGGCGCCTGTTTGTGACCCCTACCACCCACACGAAGTTCGTTAACTTCAGGAAGCCAATTGAAGCAGTGGGCGACCATTCCTTGAATAAACCGTTCGCCTGACGCCTGTCAGACACGTTGTATTCTGGTAATTAAAAGCTCACGCAGGATCGACATCAATTCCGTTCTTCTAACAACACTACCTGGCTAACAAAATAGCCCTCCTCAAGATAAAAGTGCCGAAGGGATTTCGTTAGTGTTATTCTATGATCGAGCCTAAAAGAAGATAAGAACAAGCCACACGAGGGAGGGAACTGTACAGAGACCAGTAGACCCGAATAAGTGACTTGTCAACCACACTAGTCAATCGACCGAAACCGAAAGGATCCGCGGGTGAAATCGGGTCAGCCGTCTTCATGTAAGCTGAATTTCGACACCCTGCTAGGAGACAGCATTGTCAGCAAAGGCAAGGGAGACTGGAATGGCCATTTCTGGCTCATTAGCCGTCAGCAGCCAGCCATACCCAAGTGGAGCACCACCTAAGGCTCGAACTCAAAACCTTTTTAGCAGAAGTTTAGCGGTTTAACCATTGAGACACGAGCTCGTTGTCTTACCGGCTTGGATCGGGAGATAGAGACACAGTCGTTAGCGAATGTTCGCCGATCGCTAACGGAAGTCGCTCCTTCTACTCTGCCTTGGGACTCAGTCTCAAGCCCCGCCAGCAGTCGCCCAACGACAATTACTACCTGCCTAGTATACTAGCCGCTATGCGGCTGCTGGTGGGACTCGAGAATGAGCTCCGGGGCAGAGTGGGATGAGGGAGTTCTGTTAGCGGCCGATGAACGCTCATGAACCCTGTTAACAGCATATCGGCTGCTAT